TGGTGCACATTTCTGCTTGTTTTAGCTACATGAATTTGGCCAAGCAGAAATGTGCATATTGTAAATTTGACATTTAATTGGCAGGGCTAACAAGGTTGAAAAATGTATTGATACATTTCAATGTTCGTGCGTCACATCAAAAATTAAGAAAATCATCAACTTAAAAACTAAAGGAAAAGATAATATTTGTCGTGCAAAAACAAAAAGAGAAAATATGGAGCAATTGATGTATTCACTTTTGGATGATTCCAGCAGTGAAGAGGACTGGCTGAATGGGGAATCAGATTATTAATTATTATTATAGATTATTCATTTTAACTTATCGTCGAACTGTTCTCTCTTCTGTTAGTTTTACTACTGGAACACAACTTATATTATTAGAATTAGTAGTGCCAAGGTTTTTTTTAATATTATGTGTTTTTGAACTAACCTATTATCCACTTAAACTGGATGGAGGTGTGTTGCCTTGTTTACCTTTTTCAGTGTTCGGATTATCCACTTGAAGATACCTGCTGATCTTACTGGTTAGTATGTATAAATAATTTTATTTAGATGTTACGAAAACATAAGTTGTACCAGTGTGTGAAATCACTTACAGAACAAAGATGTGTCTGCCGACAAATCCTGTAAGAATTGGAAGCGTGGTTTTCGGTAGAATTGTTGAACAATTGCGAGTCAAAGATGGCGTTGCCATGGCGATGGCGTGGCGACGTGTTTTCACTTTGAAGCTGGGGCAGGTTCAGCGGGGGCCAGAGTCGTCACAAGAATTTATTTGTTAGGACATAAAGAGAGAGAGAGAGAGAGCGAAGCAAAAATGTTTTCTTAAAACGTTATAAATTTATTTCCTTACATAACACTAAATACTACACTAAACACAATAAAATCACGTTCAGAACTTTTTACGAAGAACACTAAATCACAAAGTTCAGTCGAAATGTTAGTAAGCGGGTAGCAGTGGCGGCAGCTTGGCACAGCGGCGGCCCGATGAATACGTCAGCGGCGAGTAGTAGTGGCGGCAGCTTGGCACAGCGGCGGCCCGATGAATACGTCAGCGGCGAATAGTAATGGCTGCAGCTTGGCACAGCGGCGGCCCGATGAATACGTCAGCGGCGAGTAGTAGTGGCGGCAGCTTGGCACAGCGGCGGCCCGATGAATACGCGAACGACGAATAGGGTAGCGGCAGCTTTGGCACAGCAGCAGCCCGATGAGTACGTCAGTCGCCGTCAACGCAGCCCGAAGAATAGGGAGTATTGCTACAACCCTCACTTGACCCTGCGTTCAGTCGCCGTCAACGCAGCCCGAAGAATAGGGAGTATTGCTACAGCCCTCACTTGACCCTGCGTTCAGTCGCCGTCAACGCAGCCCGAAGAATAGGGAGTATTGCTACAACCCTCACTTGACCCTGCGTTCAGTCGCCGTCAACGCAGCCCGAAGAATAGGGAGTATTGCTACAACCCTCACTTGACCCTGCGTTCAGTCGCCGTCAACGCAGCCCGAAGAATAGGGAGTATTGCTACAACCCTCACTTGACCCTGCGTTCAGTCCAGTCCAGTCACCACAAATAGTCAAGGCTTATTGTTTGGCTTACTAAGACTCAATTCAACCAAGGTTGCGCGCCTTTTCTTCCTCCCAATCACTCTTGACTTACCAGACATCAACAGAAGACTGATCTCGATTGTGTTTCAAGTTTCAAGTTTATTTTTTCATCTGCTCTCTACACATAGTTATTTAATAACTTATTAACTAACAATATTTCTTAAGTCTATAGCTTAAAAATACTTAGCATAAAGTCTTATTTTTCTAAGTTTATCTAAATAATACGATAAGGGGGGGTCACACATTTAATGTTACCTAAAATTAATTCAAAAAATTCTATAATACTTTAATGTAAATAAATTAACATTAATGAATTCCCTTAAAAAAAGATGAATAAAAAAAGGGACCCTAACATTTTTGATTTTTGTTTCTTACATACTAGATTTAAAAACTAATCTTATAACTATATATTCTACTTATACTAATTTACATACTACTATTTACATTATTTACATGAAGGGCGTTACACCAGTTACTGGGCTGCTTGGTAGACTGTGTCGTCGATGTCTAACGAGCCGAACCTACGATGATAGAAGAGGAGTGTGTCCTCTCTATATAGAAGACCTTCTTCATCTAGTGTAACTAAGCTACTCGGCGGCCTATAATTGGCCCGAATTAACCTTTGTACATCAGTTTCGTGCAAAAGGCTTTCCCTAATTAGACTATTATCTAACGTAGCTGCCCGATCTAGGAATTTAAGGGCACTGGACATTAGAAATTTATCTATACGGTTGAAGTCTATGGAACTATATACTACCCTGTTGGGCGGTAAGCGCCATATTCCATCTTCACCCTGCGTTGGTCTTAAGCCCAAGCAGGACCTAAGAATGCGTCTTTCCCATATGCGAAGCCTTTCCATTTGGTGGGAAGAGATCCCAAACCAGACAGGAAAGGCGTAGGCAATTAATGGTCTAATGATCTGTTTATAGATTAAAAGTCTAACTTTAACGGTCAGCCCACCTCTTGTGCCGATAGCACGTTGATAGGCCCAAAATATGCCTTTGACTTTTCTTAGTACAAAGTCTATATGTCTATTAAATTCAAATTTACTTTGAAAGATTACACCCAAGTATTTGACTTGGTCTGAATTTCTAATAGTTTCCCCTCCAATTGCAAGCGAAGCCTCGTACTGTCTGGCGCTACGGTACAAGTATTTCTTTTTGCCTTTGAAGGTTATGGCCTCACACTTGTCGACATTCAAGTGCATTTTCCAAGTTTGGAAGAATTCGGAGAGTTGCTCCAAATATGCGTTTAGCCTATTATTAGTATTCCCAGCGTGGGCTCCCGTAGCAGCGACAAATATGTCATCTGCATAAATCAGGAGCAAATGCCCATCAGGCGCACGTGGTATATCGCTAATAAATATGTTGAAGAGGACGGGTCCAAGGAGTGAACCTTGTGGGACTCCGGCAGAAACTGCCCTTTCAGATGAAAGGTCATCTTCAACTTTCACTTTAAAGCTTCTATTTGCTAGGAAGCTAGTGATTAATCTACATATATTAAAGTCGAAGCCTAGTCTTCTCATTTTATATATGATGGCATTTTGCCAGACATTGTCAAACGCCCTGGCAAAATCTAAACTAACAGCCATAGTTATGTATCTGTTATTTAGAGCTTTAGTCACATAGTCCCCTAAGACCATCAGAGCATGTGATGTTGAATGACCCTTCCTGAAGCCAAATTGACTATCAGGTAGGATTGCTCCTTCTTCTAACTTTTCTCTAATTTCATAGAGTATAAAATATTCAAAAAGCTTACCAAATGCAGGAAGTAAGCTAATTGGCCTATAACTATTGCAAGATGTGGGGTCTTTTCCAGGTTTCAGGATGGGAATAGTGATTGCCCTTTTCCATGAATCCGGGAAGTAGCCCAAATTTATGCAGTGATTGAAGATAATCGCAATGTGTTTCCAGGCTGCACCATCGGTCCTCCTTAACACAATGTCAGGGATTCCATCCGGTCCTGCGGATTTGCGATTAGATCTTCGTTTCAGTCCTGCTCCAATATTGGGAGCTTTTAGGAATTTATTCCTACGCCATGTATTTTCCTCACTTATTATGGATCCATCTGCAGTTAAGTTATCTGCAAATGTCACCAGTGGGGAATTATTATTAAAAATTGATACTTCACTTCTAACAGTGTTTCTAAAAGGAGTGGTATCATCGGCATCGGATTGCCCTTGAACAACATCCGCTAACATGTTAGCCTTTTGGCTTGACATGACTGCCGTGGTCCCATCATTGCTGATGAGATCTGGGATTTTGACGTAGCGGTTAATACCCGCGGCCGCCTTTACCCTACCATACATACGATCGTTCACCTGGGTTTCACTGAGGAATTGAACCCACTGAGCTGACTCGTATTCCGAAATCGCTCCTTGGATAATTCTATCCGCGTTGCGAATTTCGGCCCTGAGAGTTATGTACCTTTCAGAGTTTTGTGTACGGTATAATCTTCTGCGTAAGACTTTCTTTTGCCGGATTAGGTCTAGTATCTCTGCCGAAAGTCTACGAGGTCCTCTATTCCCAGAATAAGTTTTAGGAATTGCGGACTCCATGGCAGATCGGAAAACCTCGCTCGTGGCATCGATGCAAGCATCGATTTCCGAATGAGTAACATTCCGATTTATAGGAAGTTGGCAGTTGGGGAGCCTTTCTGCCAAAATCCTATTGAATTGTCTTCTGTCCATTCTTCTGTAGTCGAAGAAAGTTCGTCTAGGTCTACGTTCAGGTTCGTCCCCGTAAACCGTCATTTTTAACGCCCTATGGTCAGAATTGCAATCTAAAGTTGCAATACCTCGCCCCCCATTGTCATCAACATGGGTACCAGATGATGCCAAACAGATGTGGATAAAAGATTGTGATCTAATATCTACTCTGGTTGGTCCATCTGTGGGTATTACGTTTAGGTCTGGACAGCCGATTAAGAAATCTAGAACTGTCCTCCCTCTTGTACATGTTTGTGCATCCCCCCAGCTAGTGTGTCTAGCATTAAGGTCTGCCCCTACTATAACTTCCCCAGATCTAGCTAAATCCCCGAGTGGTTCTAAGCTATTTATATCGAATCTTTCCCCTGGCCTACAGTACATAGCCACTGCGTACAGTGGTGACCCGCCGGCCCTATAGATTCTAACACAAGTACACTCGATGGGTCCCAAATCAAGTGGTACTCTTTCACATCTTATGTTTTCCCTTACTAGTATAGCGGTACCCCCACCCCTCAAATTACTCCTATACTGCAAGAAACTAACATATCCTCCTATCTCAAATCTGTGGTTCTGAGATAGTTTGTGTTCAGCCAACATCATGACCTCCGGCTGATGCTCATCGAGAAATAGACGGAGGTAGTGCCTCTTATGTCTCGATACAACAGAGTTAATGTTGGCAAATATAAATGTAGAAGACCTAACCATTTATACCTAGCATGCCTACCAAGGAGACCATGGCTTTAGCCTGGCTTGCCTTGTCCTTACTCTTCAGTTCTTCCGAAAATTGGCGAACCTGCATGACAGATGTCAAGAAATCTTTACCAAAGATTTCATTACAAAGTTCATCAAAGAGCGTGAAGCCACTGACTACTTTGTCTAGCGATTGCTCGCCCAGAGCCATGTTGGCTTTGGGTAGACCCAAAGTTGTGTTAGCTTTGGGTTGAGCTGTAACCACATTGGCTTTTGGTTGCTGGCCTAAAGTCAGATTAGCTTTAGGAGCAGCTTTAGCCGATGTTGCAGAAGCAAATGATACATTAGGCTGTATCTTGCCACTGTCTTTAGGGAAACTGGCCTTGGGCACAGTTTCCACTGCCTTAGCAACCTTGCCTTCAGCTGCTTTTGCCAAAAGCTTCAGGCGTGTTGGACAGTCGCGAGCGTTCGCAGCGTGTCCAGTGCGGTTGCAGTTTACGCATTTGAATACGTAATCTGGCCGCATTGTTACCTTACCTGTAACTGGGTCAGTTACAGGTATCATTGTGGGCTTATTAACGCCCTTGGGTATTTTGCACTTACCAGGACCATGGTCCCCAGCGCACTTAACGCAGCAGTAAGGCATACCACAATTAGTTGACACATGGAAGTGCCGTTGGCAGTTATGGCACTGTGTCAACCCCTTCTTTTTGTCTTTACGAACGACAATGCCGTTCGTGAAAAGACGCTTTACCTTATAAAGTCCGTTGATGTCCGAACCTTTGTCCAGGTGTACTAACCTCTTGTTACCACCCAACTTTACTACACGCTTTACCTCTAAGTATATAGGTAAAGCTTTTAGTCCTGCTTCTACGTCTTTTACGTCGTAAGAGTCAGGCAATTTTTCAATGACAACCGAATATATCGATTGTCCCTTTGGTGTAAAGGTATAAAAGTTTATACCTTGTTCCACCAATAGTTCACGGACGGACTGATGTTCTTCCAATGTCAGGACTTGGAAGTTGGAAATTTTTCGGTTTACTAATGAAATAGTAAACTTGTCATGACCTAGCTTGGAAATTACTAGGTCATTTAGTGCCTTAACATTGGCATTATAGACCGAAATAGGTGGTGGAAGTTTTGACTTACCTGCCCCTTTTGGTGTAACGCCCTTCTGCTGGTTTAAGCCTGCATCTTTAACTTTTTTGCTGCCTTTTCCATTGGAAGTTGCTGCTGGTTTTGATGAAGCTGCAGCTACCTCCTTCCTTCCTCCAGGTAGTATGGGCTTCTTGCCTACCTGAGATGGCGCACGGCATGCTACCATCGATACCTGTGGCACTGGCATTGTGACCACGGACTGCTCTGCTAGCGGCGCGGTAGCAGTATCCACCTCCATGGTGGCTTCTTCTAAAATTTGTTGTGATGGAACATTGTCATCACTGATTTTTAAGGAGTTTTTCTTCTCCAGTCTTTCAACTTCGCGTTTGTAGGAAGTTTCCCGCTTTAACATTGCTTGGAATTCCCGAGTCTTTCCTTAAGGGCATTGAATTCTGCCAACAGGGTATTATACTTCTCTTCAACTGCTTGAAGGGCTTTATGTAGTTCTGCATTAGCAGCTTCCAATTTCAAATTCTCATATGAGTCGTCGCGGTCGCACTTGCAATGCTTGCGTTTTTTGCCTTTTTTTTCCCTGTGTGATATTGACATCACTGTTTGGCCGTAAGAAATGTCATCAAATCCAGAGCCTGCTTCTAGGCGTTTGTCGTTTGGTGTCATATCGCAGGCACCACCATTGTTGTTAGCGATGGCACCACTCATGTCGACGTTGGTCGATTCGTAGTTGGCAACGCCGTCACCAACTACGTCACTGTCTGCATCAGCCATACAGTTGGTAAATCAAAATTTGAAATTCCAACTGGAAATTAGAATTTTGGTTTCTCCGACGGCAAATGAAATTATCAAATGCCGACGGCAAAACACAAATTCACACTTCTTCCTCTTATTTAGCAAAGTTTGAAACAATACAATTTTATCTCAAAGAGGAGGGCACTAGACACTTATAATTTTACTTTTTAACTTTTTCACTATTCACCGATTTATTTCTATCCGATGTATGTCTTCACTCGACCACAGATGATCTCGATTGTGTGAAATGCGTCTCCTTTTATACCTTTTTGGCTGGTCAACGATTGTTGTTTTCTCATGACAACAGCTGATCCCAATCTGACAGTTTTGCGTAGTTCCGCCATTTGCCACCGGGGGTTCCAATGTTGTATTTTAATTATACCTCTTTTTACTAGGGGACCTGTGTGACCGTTAATATTCAAATACATTTAAATTACATGACCCTGAGTTACTGTTAGTTTAATTCATAACTTAAATATTTTAATTCATTTTTCAAACAAAAAAAATATAATTCATAGTTGATGTATATAACATAAGTAAGTAAAAATGGTATTTAAAATAATAATGTACCCCAAAAACGAAAGCATGACTTTTGGGCGTTACATGGCCTCTCTTCCTCTCTCCTTCGAATATAAAGGTATGTTAGAGACCAATTGCAGAAGTTCAGAGAGATACCTTCACTACCCCGTCTGCTGAAATTATTATGCGGTACTGCTTGCCATCTTGTTTAACAATTCGCTTCAGTTTGTGTCCCCTTTTCCAATTGTTTTTAAACTTCTCGATACGGCTTTGTAGGTTTTCGGGATAATTTGGCAGTTCGAGAAATGTGTTATCGTTCCCGGGATTGTCTGTCGAGGACGATGGCGTTGTCTCAGTTGGGATTTCAGTGACTGGCAATTTGAGCGTACTTGGTGTGCTATTATTCTCCTTACTGGGTATAAACACTTCATCGATGGAAGGTTGACTGCTACACAATGTTGGCTGATGAGGTGTCATCGTTTGGCTTGTGGATGATGATGAAGACGACGAGGCTGATGAGGATGATGATGAAGACGACGAGGTTGATGAGGATGACGACGACGATCGGGAAGATAGCGATGTTGATGATAGTTTGACAACGTGTCCCGGCTTTCCTGGTAATGATTTATCTTTGTATTGGCTATCTTTCTGACGGACAAATCCCAGACCATACCTTTTTGGAGGCGACGAGGAACGTTGGTCTTCGTTATCCGACTCATCCAGCGAGGAATTATTCGAGGATATGGGTGACTGTGCTCGCCGAGTCACTGAGGTTTCTAAGTAACCGTAAAACATACGCCGACATTCTTCATCCATTTCGAAATTTGATTGAAATTCATCCGACTCCTCCCTATTGGGCCGAGGAAGAGTTGATGCGTCATCTGAGTCACGGCACCATTCTTTACCCGGTGTAACAGGCATTTCTGAGCACCTTGAGGTGGGTGTTGAGAGCACATCGGAAGCCGGCTTAAAGCTATTTGGCGAACCAAAACACGGTGCGTAGGTTGGTGTACGCGGGACGTCGCTACTAGGCTGGGTTTCCTCGTTCAAAGAGTCAGTTTCATCGATATCGTCGCTGTTGTTTTCGTTCGTGTCACACTTTTGCGGTGGGATGTCATTCGGGGTTGTGCTGCACATTAGGTAAAGTATTTGGTGCTGGGGCGATGAGGATTGACTGCTACCCTTTCTTGGATTGGGTTTACGGTATTGATTTGTTCTCATCTTTCGGCTGGTACTAGGACCTTCGTCTAAAAATATTGTCCTTCGCCTTTGAGCCTCGACATGTTAAAGGTGAGCTCGAAATTTCTCCTTCGCCCGTTTGAATTTTTTCGTGTTGGGGCTATCTTGCTCCATCGTGATATTGAAATTTTGTGAATTGCTATGATCTTTGAAGTATGTGCTTATATTAGGACACTGATTAGTTTGGGTATTGCCAATTTAATGTCTAAAAATATAATAAGAAATTAGAATGAAATGGCATCACATAAACGTAAGTGGAACTACAATCAACATTCTACTTCTATGTCTACAATTTAATTTTGTTCTTCATAAAAAAAGGCTTAATTTCACTTAAGTGCGCGACGCGGGTAATGTTGTCTTTTCCTCGGACTACAGCGATTACTGGAGATTGGAATTTTTGTACGACAAACGGCCCTCCGTATTTGGGCGCTAGTTTGGCAGCGAAATTTTCGACGGCCTTCGACTGAGGATGTAGACGAACTAGAACTTGCTCCCCAATCTTTGGTTTCCAAACTCGTCGCCTAAGGTTGTACTGTCTCCGCTGGTTTTGAGATGCTTTTGCCAAGTTTCGACGCACTATCTTAAATATTTCTTACAATTCCTGGGCACGGTCTTCTGGTAGGACTATTCTAGCACCAGTTCCTGTTGTGAGCTGATCATATAATGCCTGGGGCAGTCGCGGTTCTCGTCCTTGGGTCAGGTATGCTGGCGAATATCCAGTGGATTCTGATGCACTAGTGTTTATGGCTAACATTATTTCGGGCAGCATATCGTCCCATGTATTATGTTGTCTCGAAACTTGTGCTATCATTGTTTTCACCGTCCGATTTGTCCTTTCAGTAGGGTTCTCTTGCGGGGTGTAAGGAGCCGTAAGTTGATGCTTTATACCCATTTCTGCTAGGAATTTTTCGAATTGTTTGCTAGTGAATTGGGTTCCGTTATCGGTTATCAATATTTTTGGAACCCCATATCTAGAAATAATTCTTTCTCTGCATGCCTTTATTAATCCCTCTGTCGTAGCCTTCCGCAATGGAACCAACTCCGTCCATTTTGAGAATCTATCCATAATAACGAGTAGCATCGAGTTACCGTGCTTAGATCGCGGTAGAGGTCCTACGAAGTCCGCACAAATAGTGGCCCATGGTTCCTCCGGGATTCTTATCAACATTTCCCCTGCTGGTTTCTGTTGGCTGACTTTATATTTTTGGCAACATTCGCACTGCTGGACATAACGTTTGATGTCCTGAAACATACCAGGCCAAAAATATCGGTTTGCCACCTTGTTGCTAGTCTTTCGCACTCCCAAATGACCTCCGGTGACACTGTCATGATTTTCTCTAAGGACCTGAATCCTTGATCCGGTGGGCACACACAGCTTCCATGGTGTGCAATCTTCATCGTTTATTTGCTTGGGAAGATGTCGATAAACATTTCCCTCGATGATTGTATAGTCTGGATACTTCTTCTGATTCTTGGTTATGGTTTCCTTCAACTTTTCTAGCCATGGGCCCGGACTGGTGTCATATTTTACCGTGGCTAGGTCTAACGTTTCCAAAGGTGTTCTCGAAAGTGCATCCGCCACAACGTTCTGTTTTCCTCTACGGTATCTGATCAAAAAATTATATTGCTGTAGCTCGAGAGCCCAACGTGCGAGTCGACCTGTAGGGCTTTCAATAGAATTTAACCATTTTAGGGCCAAATGATCGGTAATAACTATAAACTGGTAACCCTCTAAATAGGGTCTCGTGTGCCTAATGCCCCACAGTATGGCTAGACATTCCTTTTCAGTCGCTGAGTAGTTTTTTTCAGCCTGTTTTAAATGTCTGCTGGCGTAGGCTATGACACGTTCCACGTTATCTAACTCCTGTGTTAGAACTGCTCCAAGGCCATAGTTGCTGGCATCAGTTTGCAATATGAACGTCTTTGTGAAATCCGGACAAGCCAGAACGGGGGCTTCAGTTAACTTTGCTTGCGTTCTACTCAATTCATCGTTTAAAAATTTAGGTCTGGGGGATACATTATTCGTAGCTGTCATTGTATCTATTACCTCTTTTGATGGGGTTTCCTCTCCTATAGCCACGGTACAATGCTCCGTTGATGTGGTTGGCTTACTTAATTTGACACTTATACCGGCGTAGTGAATGGTCGTGTGGAACTGTTTTAGAAATTCCAATCCCAATATGATGTTTTCCTTGAATTGTGGCATGATGAGAAATGTAACATCTGAGCTTTGGTTTCCAAATGTAACAGGTAACACCGTTGATCTTGTGATGTTTATCGCGGTGCCGTCTGCGAGGATAACATTTGCCTCATGTCGTGAATAAGTAAACCTTTTCTTGATCTTTTCCGCAAACTCTCTTTTTATAAAACAGCTAGTGGCACCAGTGTCGACAGTTGCTTTAATAGCTTTCACCTCTATTAAGACAGTTGCAGTAAGGCGATATTCTTCACATTGCAATGATGTAATATTCTGGTTACTCTTCTTTGCCGGGGGTTCATCCTGCTGCGTTTTCGTAATGGATGGGCTTTCGTTTAGCACTTGGTCACCTTGATTGGTGCAATACAGGTTATTTCTAGAGTTATCTGCATGTCGATTATAGTTTTGTTGATGTCGCGGCTGTTCTGACCGAGAATTATTTGGTATGCTTTCTAGTTCGTCTGCCAAGGAGATCAATTCCGAAAGTGTGGTAAAGTCTTTACGGCGAATGTACCATTGATAATCCGACTGCGCGT